TTTCTTTTTTTTTTTTAATTATATAATTAATTGAAATTTAAATTTAGATATATGTGTATGTTTGAATAATATCTCAATTTTATAAAATATTACAAATCAATCATATATAAACCTATTACTTAAAATTCAGATTTATTGTATACTTCTTCTTTTCTTTTTTTTTAATTATATAATTAATTGAAATTTAAATTTAGATATATGCGTATGGGATAATAATATCTCAATTTTATAAAATATTACAAATCAATCATATATAAACCTATTACTTAAAATTCAGATTTATTGTATACTTCTTTTCTTTCTTTTTTTTAATTATATAATTAATTGAAATTTAAATTTAGATATATGCGTATGTGATAATAATATCTCAATTTTATAAAATAATACAAATCAATGTAATAAAATTGCAATCAAAGAAAAAAAAGGAGTATAATGACAAAGGAAAAGAAACACAATAATGAAAATAGAAATACTTTTGTCGTAATATCGATCGAACCGAATAAAAAATAAATATCTTTGATATACCGTCATACGGTTTTTCCTCCCATATTCTTTCATAGATAAACGTTAACAATTCGCGACAAGGTTAACGATCTCTCATTCGGTATCCCTAAAAACCACGGCACTTCAGAGACACAGAATCGAGAATTAATCGAACTGTCAAATTCCGACAGTCCCGTCGAAAACATTGCGCGTTTACGTTGTGCCAGACAGGAGTTACAACTCTCGTGATCATCCTCTTCTTTCATTTTTTTAACCCCCCCCCTACCCCTTACCCACCCCTTCTCACCCCTCTCTCTCTCTCTCTCTTTCTGTCTCTCTTTTTTCATCCACCCATATTCTCCTTTCCACTAGAGTCATCAAAATGAAACGTACAGGCCATTCGGTTGGTCACAACGAGATGGTTTAATTACTCGTTTCGAATCCGCAGTTTCACCTCCATGAACTTTACCTTCCTCCTATTCTAACTGTACTGCAATTTTTTCTCTTTTTTTCCTTCCCTTTTTTTCAATCCTTTTTGTTTCCCTCCCCCAGAGTTTATGTCCTTTTTTTTTTTTTTCGTAAGTATGTGTGTGTGTGTGTGTGTCAGTCTTTTTTTCTTTTTTTAGCTCACGTATTTCACGTTTCGTTTAATACTGCGTGTGGACGACAGTGTTCGATCGTGACAAACCATGCGTAAAATATTTGAGCTTAAAGCACAATGATGATCGGACAAACGAACGATATAAATTTCTTTTCGTTTAGTTACGTTATTTTATTTATTCATTATATCTTTTTCTTTCATTTAATTTAGTTTCTTGTTGTTTGTTATCATTTTTCGTTTTCATATACATCGAGAAGTGATTTTTGTAACGTTTAAATTAATTAAAAGAATATCATATTTAATTATTATTATTGTATTATATTGAATTCATTTTTAGTAATCAAATAATAATGGAAGAACATTAATAAACTTGTCGCGAGAAAGTATTAAAATATATTGTAATTAAATGATTACGTGTTTTTAATATAGTATACAATAATATGTAGACTATTTTATAATTAATCATCATTATTTTTGTTTCCTTTGTCTTAATTATTTATTTAATTAAATATAATATCACATTTATAGATTCAAATGTAATAATTTAATCATACAAGTTACAAGCTTTGTAGCAACAAAAAATAATAATTTATAGATAGCCCCCTATACTTATTTTTATGTGTATTTGTTTTTTATTATCAAAATAATTCAATATAGTAGATATATATTCTTAATTAATCTATCACATTAAAATTACGTTGCGTATATAGTTTTTTTGCGATTTATTATTATATATTGTATATATAACGTCATTTGGTATTTGTGTTGAATATAATAATTGTATTAAATATAAAATAAAGTGCATCGAAATAGAAACAAGCTTTTCTCGATTGTTCTTAGACACATCTTCTACAATCAAGTGACCGAGATTAACAGGTCTTAATAATGGACCGAATAATAGGGCAAATCTTGGTAGGGTGAGAAGGGTCGAGCGTGCTCGAAACAGATGGTTCAGCAACGATTCTATCTCATCCTTTCCTACTCTTTCCTATTATCTCCTCTCTCTCTCTCTCTCTCTCTCTTTCTTCCTTTTTTTTCTTCTTACCGTAATTCGAAGACATTCTTATAGAAAAGGAAAATACATATACGGTGTTTTTCTAACAAGATATATAACAGAATAAAAAATGATTTTACATGTTAAAAATAAGTTCAAATTAAAGTAAATAAATAAGATTTTGTTCGTTTTTGAGAAAATTGCGATATGCAAAAATTGAATGAAAACCAAATAAAAAAAAAAAAATAAACAACTGTAATCAAAATTGGCAGAGAAGATCAAGTAATATAATAATTGTGTGAAAAAGTTAAATGTTAATATTTTAATAATACTTTTTTTCGCGTCAAAGTTTATTATCAACGAAAATATATATTTTATTGTAAATAAATTTGGATTGATTTACAAAAAAAAATAAAAAAATTGTGGAAATATGATTATTATCGAGTAAACTAATATATAAAAGGAAAATGTAAAAGATCCGGGGGATGGTGATGTCGTGCGAATACAACGAAACATGTTGATCGAAGGGTAGAGACAAGAAAGAAAGAGATAGATAGATAGAGAGAATGGTGTTAGATAAAAAGAGATAGAAAACACGTAACGTGGAATATAAGGGGGAATCGATGGAATACTCCGATGACCTAAATCACGATCCTTCCATCTCGAGAACTCTCGGGAAATTCGACGAGAATCAACGTTAGACGATTGCTTTCTGTCTAAGAAAGAGAAGGAGAGAGAGAGAGAGAGAGAGAGAGAGAGAGAGAGAGAGAGAGAAGATAATACAAACTTCGAGTACAAAGGAATGACGTTTACCCTTTTCGTTTTGATCTCCTTATCAATATTTTCAATTTGATTTTTCTTTTTCTCTATATATATTTTTCATTTAATTTCATTTTTTTCATCTCCCTCCTTCCTCCCCCCCTCTTCCGTCAGTAATCGCGATAGAATTTTTACGAAAAAATGTTACTCTTGAAATTATTAAACAAAATAAATCGTGTCCCATTATTATTACAGTTAAGTATGTTTAATATTTTTTATTTAAATAGTCAACCGAGTTTTTAATATTCTTTTATATTAAGTTTTAGGTTTAATTTTTTTTTTTAGAAATAAATATATAATAAACTCGTCTCGGTATAAATTAATTCTACAGATATATTTCTAATACTTTAATCGTAATATTTATTCGTACGATTAAATATTTACTATAAATTACTTATAAATTTTTAATTTTATGTAATAATAATATTTCAATATATAAAAAGAAATAATATATATATATATAACACCAAGCGCGAAATATAAAAACATTAAAGATAAATATTTATAAATATTACGATAGAGTATTTGTTTAAGAAAAAAATCATCCATACCATATGTCTCATCGTATAATCGAGAAATCTAATTTATTAGTTAAAAAGAAACAAAACTTATGAAACTTTTGGACGTGGCTGATTTTTAAGGGAATAAATCCTTGAAGGACTACCGAAAAAGTACATTAAATTTTCCTCTATTTCGTAACACCGACAGAATTTTTTTCGTGTCGTTCGTAAAAAATGGTTGAAGTAAGTCTTAGATACAGGTCCTCTCTCTCTCTCCCTCTCTCTCTCTCCCTCTCTCTCTCTCCCTCTCTCTTCCTTTCTTTTGCTTCACATATGAGACCCATCCGAACTTTTACCCAAAGTTGTTTTTCCTAGCGAGGATGTCGGATAGGAAACTTTAGCCCTCTAGATTAAAAAACTCTCCGTGAGGCTGCATAACTTCCGTGGGTAGGCTTGATCGAAAAGGAAACCCATTGGTAGTTGTGCGTGTATGTATATACATTATGTATCTATATAAAAGAAAGAGATAGAGATAGAGAGAATAGGAAAAAAGTAGGA